ACTAAAGTTGTACTACAAAGTCGCCAGTTCTCAGCTTCCAGCTCCACAGATTGCTCCGCGTACTAAAGTTGTACTACAAAGTCGCCAGTTCTCAGCTTCCAGCTCCCCAGATAGCTCCGCGTACTAAAGTTGTACTACAAAGTCGCCAGTTCTCAGCTTCCAGCTCCCCAGATTGCTCCGCGTACTAAAGTTGCACTACAAAGTCGCCAGTTCCCAGCTTCCAGCTCCACAGACTGCTCCGCGTACTAAAGTTGTACTACAAACTCGCCAGTTCTCATCTTCCAGCTCCGCAGATACTCCGCGTACTAAACTTGTACTACAAAGTCGCCAGTGCTCAGCTTCCAGCTCCCCAGATTGCTCCGCGTACTAAAGTTGCACTACAAAGTCGCCAGTTCCCAGCTTCCAGCTCCACAGACTGCTCCGCGTACTAAAGTTGTACTACAAAGTCGCCAGTTCTCATCTTCCAGCTCCCCAGATACTCCGCGTACTCTTCCAGCTCCCCAGATTGCTCCGCGTACTAAAGTTGTACTACAAAGTCGCCAGTTCTCAGCTTCCAGCTCCGCAGATGCTGCGCCTGCCACGAAATCTGCACATCGAGGCTCACAAAGTGCTGTGCCTGCCACGAACTCTGCACCTCGACGCTCACAAAGTGCTGTGCCTGCGAAGAAATCTTCACCAAGTGCTGCACCTGCCACTAAATCTGCACATGGAGGTTCACAAAGTGTTGTGCCTGCCACGAAATCTGCACATGGAGGTTCACAAAGTGCTGCACCTGCGGCGAAATCTGCGCATGGAGGTTCCCAAAGTGCTGTGCCTGCCACGAAATCTGCACATGGAGGTTCACAAAGTGCTGCGCCTGCCGCGAAATCTGCGCATGGAGGTTCACAAAGTGCTGCACCTGCCACGACATCTGCACATGGAGGTTCACAAAGTGCTGCACCTGCCACGAAATCTGCACATAGAGGTTCCCAAAGTGCTGTGCCTGCCAGGAAATCTGCACATGGAGGTACACAAAGTGCTGCACCTGCCACGAAATCTGCGCATGGAGGTTCACAAAGTGCTGCACCTGCCACGAAATCTGCGCTTCAAGAAACAAGTGAAAACTCTAATCCCAATGGACGGACGATTCCGACCATGCCCGAGCATGATCCGAGCATGACCCGAGACCGTCTCGCAACCGCCGTTCCGCAGACCTTGACTTGCCAGCTTCGGAGCCACCGGTTCCATTGAAAAATACAGCCTTCGCTATCTCTCCACAACGCATTTTGTATTGCACCTGCCACGAAATCTGCGCATGGAGGTTCACAAAGTGCTGCACCTGCCACGACATCTGCACATGGAGGTTCACAAAGTGCTGCACCTGCCACGAAATCTGCACATGGAGGTTCACAATGTGCTGTGCCTGCCAGGAAATCTGCACATGGAGGTACACAAAGTGCTGCACCTGCCACGAAATCTGCACATGGAGGTTCACAAAGTGCTGCACCTGCCACGAAATCTGCACTTCAAGAAACAAGTGAAAACTCTAATCCCAATGGAC